GTGTATATATTCTTATATATTCGTATGTATGGGTACGTTTGTGTCTGTACGTATGTAAAATTATATATATATGTATATGTATATACATATACTTATTTTTCATATTTTTTTTACGTACACCTATACATCATACATACATACATACATACATACATACATACATATACATACATATACACACACACACACACACACACACTCACATATATATATATATATATAGTATAATATAGTATAATATATATGTATCCGTACAGCTATAGCTATAGCTACATTTTTGTTGCGCTTCGCATTATTAAACTCTAATCGGTTTCATTTGGCACTACCACAGCTGTGCCGCTAAATACATAGATCTTAGTGAGAAGATTGGGCGACAAATGACGGAGATCCAGAACACGCTAGCCGCTTCACAAATGCCCTCCCAGTAAAAATCGATTTTCCGTAGCGCACCGAGAGTACCTTTAATTTTCGAATGTTGAAATGTGATGCACTTCTCGACGATAACACCATGTTTATGTTGGTATCGTATCTTTTTGGCTCACGATAGTACGTAGTACAGGGGAGGTTTACTTAGGCTTCTGTATCTCAGTAATGATTTGTACGATATGTGAAAGCGCTACAAGATACGATGGACTTAGATGTAAACATCTAGCAAAAGTTGTCTGAAAATGACTATCTTATCAGGAGGAGTTTTTTTAACTTGGAGAGGACACGTTGAAAACGCTTGACGCGTGATTTCAACAAATTCGGTTCAGATTTAATTTTAGGCATTTGTCGGTATTTTATGTGATAGATAGCACATAAAAAAGTATGTGACAATATTAATTTATCTACATACTTAGGAAACCCTATCGGGTAACATGAGTAGGATTATTGCGATGCACTTCTCGACAATATCGTCGCCTCACCGTTAAGAATGTTTTCGTATGAATGCTTGATTTACTGTCTCGCAACGGTACGTACTGAAGGCGAGATTACTGTAGTTCAGGATTAACTTTTACGATACGTAGATGCGCTACAAGATAAATTAGTCCTCGGTGGTTTGCCGTCGGCTACGACAGACCTAGATGAAAATCCAGTAAAGTTGTCTGAAAAGGGCTTGCTGAACATGAGGGTCTGTAAAAGCTTCGAGGAGAAGCGTTGAAAACGCTAATTCGGTTCAGATGCGATTTGAATTTAGTGGTGCTGGGGTGTTCCAGTTTAAAGCTGTCAATGGACATATTTTTAATGCCGTGTCGGTAATCTTGTACGATAGCACACAGGAAAGAATTGTCATATTTGACACTTTCTGTAATCTTTGTTTGTGATATCAACTAAAGTTCCAACTTCGCTCCGTCTCTCTCGTGAGAGAGTGACGAGGGGCATGGAGGCTGGTGCCCTTGGGGGGCGGAGAGAGAGAGAGAGAGCGAGTCTGAGTCTGAAAGTAGG